CAGAGACATAACCAAATGTAAACCCCAAAAAAAAAAAAAAAAAAAAAAAAAAAAAACAGTGTCTTGATACAGTGAAATGTTAGCTTTACAGAGAAAGCCACAGTGCTCTGGCAGAGTCAGAAGCACAGGGACTGAATGTGTGCCAGGCCAGCCTGCTACCAGACAGAATGAGGGCATCACGGCCCAGGCAGAGAAATCTGGGAGGAGCCATCCTTCTGTTTTGGCCTCCAAAGAAGTGGGGTTATGGAGCACAGGGGAAGGGCTGGGACTGTCAGGCTTAAGGCTACTGCGGGAGAGAGGAGGGTAGGAGCAGAAGGCAGAGGGAGCAGGAAAGCCCCTCTCCCTGGCACATACACACATAAACACAGATGACTCTCTTGCCTTCTTCAGTGGTCTGGAAATCTTGTTCTGTGCCCTGAAAATCCCAGTTTCCCATGATTCATTGCTTCTAGCCTGATGCTGACTGATACTGGATGATGGGATCTTTGACCAGGGAGGGTAGAAACAAGGCTGGGCCAGATATGGCAAACGCACACAATATTGCACAAGCAACAGTTTATTGGTGGGAAAGCGGGCATTAGCCAAATTGGGCTTCGGCTGAAGGGAGCAAGCAATTATTGAGAGAGTGGCCATGCTGCTGTTCCCAGAACAAAGAGAGCAATAGGTTTTGTTTTGTTTTGTTACATTTTATTTTATTTTATTTTTTGGTACTGGGGATTGAACTTGGGACCTTGCATTTGGGAGGAAGGTGGCAGAACCACTAAGCTAAATTTCGGCCTGCAGTAGGTTTTTATTGATTTGCCTGGGTGGGTTTAAGTCTAGTAATTTCCACTAGCCACAGCACAGTTTCAGAAGGCGTCCTGTTTTGTGATGAATTTGGACCACCTGGTGGTCATGGTCAACTCATCTGTCTTACAGGGTGTTGAATGTTTGTGTATCTTGCACCATCACCCCGCACAAAACATCCGGGCCTTGGACTTGGTGGGCTAACAGGTGGTCGGCTTCCCTCAGGAACTGCTGGGTTATTCTGACAGCTGTTGTCATCATCTTGTGTAAATGTCCTGGCTTGATGATAAGACTGAAGAACTTTTAGTGTTTCAGCTGCTAAAAAAGCACAGGGGTGAGCTAGAAACCCCAATGGGCAATAGGCCAAGTCCACCCTGTATCATAGTCTAGGACAAAACTATCAACATGTCTACATGTGGAGTTGAGTAGAGTCTGACTCAAGGGTTAAGAGGGAGGCAGAAAAGGGAACAGAATACAAAGATAGAGATGCCAAGCCTTAGTCAGTCATCAGACATCTGCAGGCCCAAGGGAAGAATCAGTGGTCCTAGCAGAGTAGCCTTCAGGTCTCTGAAAAGTAACCCAGGAAACGTGTCATAACCCCCACATCAGAGGTGTTATAGCCAGCAAAGCTAGTGGGAAACTAATAACGTATTGTTCACCTGTGTGGCCTCCAAAATTCATGATTTTAAGTCGACTCAGAGCAAGTAAAGCTACAGGACATATTTAGGGTTTTTGGTAATAATTTCTCATTTTATGCACACATCGAAGTCTGTTGAAACGTGCTGTGCTGCAAAGGCTAATAGTATATGGTGCCTGGGGGCCTACTTTGTCATTGTAGCCTTTTTTCCCACCGTTGTCCCAACACAGGTGGCCCCTGACTATCTCAGTGACCACTGTCAGCTTCCTTTAGAAAGGAAAATGGATCACTCACTGCATGTCTTCAGCTCTGAGGAAGGGCTTTCCTGTGCCTTTACAGCAAGATCCCATAAGGAGTGGAGGGCAGGGAACACAGTACAGGTATCTCTGCTTTCCCACCCAGCCTCTCTGTGCTAAGACTGGGACACCAAGATGGTGCATCTGTGGGCTAAGGTCATGGGGACAGAGCCACCTCTGTGGCCATGGAATAGAGCCTGCATAGTGGCCCAAAGAAAGAGCAGATCTGTGACCCATTAGGATAACCCAAAGGGTCTTTCCTGAATGTACATCTTTCCACTGTCTGTTCTGGAGGTGGACACCTTACTTCCCACTTTGTCATTAAGATTTCCATTTCTGAGAGACCTGGAACTTCCACCATGGATTCCAGCCCTGGACTTGAGTAATCTCAGTGAATTTATAATGTTGTGCACAGCTGCCTACCACTGCTGACCTCAGCTTCATTCATTTTCCAAGAGCTTTCAGACCGATCCTGTGGAGAATAAAATACATCAGCTCTAATCAATAATTTTGTAATAGAAATACCCGTGCCCTTGATAAATTAACTCTAGTGCAATTAGTGGCTAGCCTTGAAGCCCAACCCCTAAGTGTAAGTTAATCCTAAAGTGAATGGAGTGGAGGGGTGGTTAATGGTCTTTTAAATCAGTGGAATGGTAGTCAGTGGGTGACGTACATCTCTTCACACCCCCCTGAGCTGATTGGCCCTCACTCTTGCATCGGCTGAGGAGTCCAGGCCCAGCTCCTAGAGAGGAACGGGAAGTGTGACAGTGCTCTGTGTAGCTCCTGGTGTGGAGGAGCTGAGAGACGTGCTCCTTGCACCTTGTGCTGGCCGGGGGCTACTGCAGGGTCTGGGAAGCCTTGAAAGGGAGTCAGACACCTTGGGGTTGATGAGAGCCATCAAAGGAATGCATGCCCAAGTGTGTCATGTTCCTTATATTTCTACAAGTTTCAATAATTGTGTATAAGCCGGCCGTGATGGCACATGCCTGTAATCTCAACACTCAGGGGGCTGGGGCAGGAGGATCACTGTGAGTTTGAGACCAACCTGGGCTACACAGTGAGTTCTGGGTTAGTCTCAACTACATAGTGAGACCCTGTCTCAAAAAATCCAAAATAATAATAATAATAATAACAATAATCATGTATATACTATAACATCCATTGCCACAGCTAAGTTGCGAGCTAACACAGAAGGCAGAAGTTTTTGGGTTGCTTTACATCTTTGTTTTCATGAGAAAGCTAGGCTGCACAGTTAAATGACTTACCCAGAGTCACACACGTGGTTACCGAGGAGCCAGGCTTTGGTCAAAGGTGAAGAACCTTGGACATAAGCCCAGGTATTTGGCCTCCTCAAGGTAGCCCTGTGGAGAAGCCACATCAGTTCATTAAGGACTCATCTGGCCCCAGACACCTGGCGCAAACCCAAAGCAGAATGTGCCGGGGGCGCTAGAACAGCCTCGGGTTCTAACTCCCCTCAGCCGAGCTTTAGCCCAAGTCCTCCTGGTTTATGCTTCCAGCTGCAGAGTTCCCAGGGCACATCTACCACAGGGTCTAATTCAGCAGATATTTATCAAGTATATAACAGTAGTAATTATTATGTGTGGCAGATATTTTCCCAAGCCTGATTCAAGGGTGTCTTTGACTGTTCCAGAAAACCCAGCTTTGCATGGTTCAGCGTTACAGGGGATTTCTTGGCTGACATCCTGGAATCTTTATAGAAGAGTGGCTTCTCATGTAGTTTGCACAGGCTCTTTCTCTAGTTCTCTTAGCTTTGTCCTCCTATTTTAGTAACATCCACATGATTTGCACTTGGCAACGTTGTCCATGTGGTGGATTGGAGAGGCAGGATTAGAGGCAGGCAAACAAACTCCAAATACTGCACATACATTATAAACACAGGATACGTGTTAATATATAGTGAAAAGCAAGCAGTGAGTCTTTGGGGGAGTCTTTGGCTCTTCCCGTTGATGCTAACTCTGGCCTCCCCATCGTGCTGAGGACTTGCAGAGGACCTACAGACAGCAAGCTTCCAGGAGACCTTGCAAGTTGGGGGGATAGAGTCATATTGGCAAGAGAGGGAAGTTCACACTCTGTGTGGCAGCAGAGTGTGGGGAGGACAGAACCACCTGGTATCTACCCCAGAGAGGACAGCTTGACCTCCCTGAGCCAAGCGTCTGAGGCTGGGTTTCCACCGTGGGACTCCACCTTAATTTTCCACGGCTGTCCTTTGCTTCTACTGGCGGGCTGTCATTCGTTCCCTGCTGGGGGTTGTTGGTGACAAGTCCTTTGCCCTCACAGCAACCACTGGCCTCATCCTTTCCACCAGCTTCTTTCCCTCTGTCCTTGTCTTTGCTTCGTCCCTTAAAATCTGGCTCAGACTGAGGAAGTCACACCTGATGAGCCCTACGTGGGGCAACCAATCCATGGGGCTATAAGTCCTCGGAGGACACTTTACGTGTATTTCTGGGTGACACCAGCGTTTCCCAACAATACAAACCATTAGTTCTCCAGGAGGCAGAGTCAGCCTGGTCCTTATTTTAGTGTAGATGAATAATTACTATACAATTAAAGAATACAGAAAATAAAAGGGCCCTCTGTTCCTGGATGCTTGTTTCTAGCTTAGGATCCTGCAGAACAAGAGGCAAGCACATAATACTTTTTTGAGTAGCTGCATTGGCTGTCGGGATCAGGTTTGTCCGAAGAGGCCACAATGAAGTCTATTCCATGGCATGGTATAAGAGGCCTCTAGCCTGCATCTCAAAATTCACACTAGCCTGGGAGGTCTTACAAGGTCAAGTTATCTTGAGCGTGCTTGATAGAATGCTAGAGACACTTCCCAGCCAATTTTAATAAAGTAACAACAATAGTAATATATTAATAGTAACTCCTGTCCTATGAGCAAGCCAGGTACTGTGCCAAGCCCACCTGCATTACCCTATTTAATTCTCATAACCCTGTGCAGCAGGTAATGTTATTCCTAGCCCCGTTTTGACTATTTAAAAACTGTGGCTGAGAGAGGATAGTAGCCTGTTACGGTTGAGATCTAAAATGCCCCTCCACAAATTCTCCTACATATAGAAGGTGTTTTCGATCATGGGGTGCTGTCAGGAGGTGGGGCCTGGTTGGGTGTGTGTCCCTGGGGGTGTGGTTTGGAAGGGTGCATTCTGTCCTCGGTTCCCCCACTTCTCCCACCACGCCCTCCCACCACCCCATTTCTTCTTTCTCAGGAGCCAGCCATGGACTGAGCCTCAGAGCAAAAATAAATTTCACCTCCCTTAGGTTGTGGATGTGTTGAATATTTTATCCCCGCAACTGGAAAGTGTGCAAAACAGAGCCTGTCTGAGGTGGGAGAGGCAGGAAGGGAGCTTAGGCTGGCCCATCAGTCTGTGCTGTTTTGAGCAGATGCTTCCTTGTTCCAGCCCAGCGATGGCTGAGCAGGACTGCAACTTTTACACTTACCCTCAACAGAAACCCACAGCTGCTCTCGACTCAATTTTTATATCCTCGAGGGGAGGAGATAGCGCAAAATCATTTACAAGTAGCTTCAAGGAGGCGGTCTGTGTTGTTTGCACCTGATTCTGCTATTGCAGATTTCATGTCATGGCACTGCCTGGGTTTCTCTGGCTGACATTTCTGATCTGGTTTTTGGTCCCTGAATCCATTCAGACCATTGTCAGACACTGGAGGGCCAGGGGAGGCAGGGTTGTTAGAGAAGCCAGCCTGGAGGGAATTCTTTGAAAGGAAGGTTTTGCTAAAACAACATCTATCAAAGGAAGTTAGCCACTGCCCAAAAGAAAGTAGGCAATGGAGCACGGGAGGGTTTCTCAGCACAGACTTTCTCCATGGGGAGGAGTCAGTATCCCTTCCTGTGAGCTACCAGAACAGCATCTGGAAGATTGCTGGGAAACAAAGCTCAGCCCTAGCACTGGAAGGGGATTGGCTGCCTAGTTGCTGGGGCTTTGCTTTGGACCAATAGCAGAGGGAGAGGTGGGTCCACAAGCTAGAGCCGTGGGCTCCTCAGCCAATCATCTTGTAGGGAGGCTGGGCTCCCAGTACCATGGCAACTGTGAGCAAAGGCTCATTTGTTTTGTAGATGAGTAATTACTACACAATTAGAGAAAGCTAAAAATAAAAGCGGCCCTTTGTTCCTGGCTACTTATTAATATTAATAAAATGGTCTGTACAGGTCTGTGATAAACAAGGCAAACCTGGGCACTTGTGATAGAGGCCGATGTACTTGGGGAAAGCAGCCCAGCTCTGCTTCCCAGCCTGGGTTTCTTCTCATTCTGGAAGTTTTCCTGACTGTAACCTGGAGAGGATGGCTTTCCTAACCTTGGGGAGAAGAATTCCGCATCAGACCACACATAGGATTCAGGACGCACTGAAGACCTGAAGCACCGTAGCAAAACCAGACAACGTGGACCGGTGTTGGAGGACACCGCCCGCTCCCCCCAGTCCAGTTTTGCCCTGTGCCCTTGGCCACATTTTCCTGCTGGCTTGTGATTGTTCAGCTCCAGGTGCATATGGTTTTTGGGGGGAGTTGTCTTTGTTTGTTTCCTTTTGGTCCTGGGGATCAAACTCGGGACCTTGGCCTGCAAGGCAGGCAGCGGAACCGCTGAGCTAAATCCCCGGCCCCAGGTGCATACGGTCTTAAGGCTTCTACTGAAGTAGCCTCCAAGATTTCAGTGCATCCCCTCCTGCCTTGAAGAAAACGTTCAGTTCAGGCTTAGAAATGATGGTGCTGAGGGTTACACTGTGTTCAGGGATGGCCTCCACTCCCACATCCTGGCCTTCAAGGCCAAGGGAGCAGAGAGGCTTTCCTTCTACCCCTTTTCCCTACGAGGACAAGAGAATGCTTTGTGGATTAATCTAATAAGGATGAGAAACAGTTTTTAAAATAAAATAGAGGTAATAAGCACATAGAAGGAAGAGTAGCTAATTAGAAGGCTTGGAAGGCTTGGTTCCAAGTCTGCTTCCTTCTCTACTAAATGAGGATTTCAGACTAGAGGGTCTGGGAGGACCGTTGAAGATCACAGCTCTGTATAGCTGCTGTTTCCAAAGCTCTTGATCTCTTGTCGTTGGAGGCTGAAGCAGTGACAATGATAGTGGCTTAAGAGCTGAGAGAGGATCAGGTGTCAAGAAAGCCAGGGGTTTCCAAGTGGTAAGAAACCTGGTGAGGATGCATTTGAACTTCAGCAGTCAGTCATGCCTTGCTTAATGCATAAAGCAGTGGGAGGAACCAAGTTATTTCCAGAATTGTTTATCATTTTTGCAATCTGTTGTCAGATTTCCATCCGCGAGTGGGGTTGATTGAAGGATTTGACTCTTGATGGATGGTATTCATTAACAACAGTGGACTTGTTAATAGCTGTTAATAGTCACTGATGAGCAAGTCAATCCTGAGATTAGGGTCAACACAATACTTCTGAACTTTACTTCATGTTGGACTCACCTGGGGAGTCTTTAAACCCTGCAGATCCATCAAACCAGAATCTGGCAAGGTGGGCACCAAGCAAGTCTGGTGCGTAACCATGGTCTTAGGTGCCATCCAGTGCTCACTGGATGCAGAGCTTTGCACCATCTGTGACCATCAGTGGCACCCCAGCCTTCTCTCTCAAAAAGCACGTGAGGTCTCAGCCTGAGTCTGGGATCTCTAGCTTGCAGCTGGAAGCCCAAGGCTCTCGGCTTTCCTTTGCAGCAAGACCAGGAAGACCAGCATCTTCCTGATGGGCTGAGGGGGTCTCTGTCTTCATGAGGTGACTCTCCTGTCTCCCTTGAGGACAGCCCTGTCGTGGCTGAGATAGGAGCATGTGCACAAGTGGGCAGCAACAATAAACAGGCCAGCAGCTGCCCTCCTTGACTGTCTGACGAATGGGGGCCTTTTGGTAAGGTCGGAGTTTGTTTGTTATTAAAGACCTAATTAGAAACATGAGAGGGAGCTGAATGGCTCTGTGCTTGGCTAATTAGTGACATGTATGCACCCGCTTTGAACTTAAAGGACACAGAGCTATTAGCGCTTACATCAAAAATGGATTAAACCCCTGTGCCTTTATAATCATTAGAGACAGGCTGCTCAAGTGGAAAGGCTTTTGTACAGGTCCTCCAGGGGCTGCACCCCAGCCCCAGCTGCTAGAGCCCCAGGCAGTGCACTGCTGTTAGATGTGACTGGGCACTAAATGCCAGTCAGCTCTTGGGTGTCCCGGGACCCGTAGGACTCACCCTCTGCAGGATGGAGTGGTCTTTGGAAACTAACTGGGTCCAGCACCCAGGTGGTGGGCCTAGTAAGGAAGGGCCCAGGTGTGGCCAGGGCTTGCTCTTCTCTGCAAGTCTCCTTGCTTTCTGGTATGTGACACAGTGGAGG